GAAGAATGAGAAGTACCGGAGCAACCAATAGTTTCAAACATTGCGCTAATTAAACCGCTTTCATTTCAGTGTCTTTCAAGCACATTGCATAATAAAATAACTGCATTTTGTTTTTTTAAGGCCTTGGCTGACCTATGAATCTACTTTGTAGTTAATAGTGGTATCTTGCATTGTCAGGTTTAGTTATTGTTAGATTATAGCTATTTAGATTATTATCAGATCATTTTAGATATAATAGCAAAACTAGCTATTATAACTAGATGCCTGCTGCTCATGAGCTTAAAACTGCATAAATATGCAGGGAACCTGCAAAACACAACTTCTAGAGTTTATAGTTCCCTGTGACTATATACAGTGACATTTATTTAATTTCCCAGAAAAACTTTAATCCATCAGTTCCTTGTGCATAAATAAAGGTTTACGTCTTAAACTAGACTAATTTTTAAGTTAATAGGGCAGTTCTATTGTGGACTTTGAGGCCTGCTTTGTCATCTTTTTTCTCTGCCTTTAAGATATTAAAAGTGTTTCTTTGAAACTGCCCATTTCCAGGAAAAACTCTATCCTCTGCCTGGATATATTATATAATAGAATGATTTGTTGAATGCAGTTGGTTGCCTTGATTATTTTGCTCTATTGACAAAAAAAAAAAACAACTGAGGGATTCATATAAGACCAATACAAAAGGTAAAACCATTCGCTGGTGCTCAAGAAGGAATATATATATATATATATATATGTCATATGCTATGCTTGCTTTGTGTACATTATGTTCATTTATGTATTTTGTGTTTTAACAACTACAGTATCTTAGTAGTGAAATAAACATACCACAGAACCAACACAGAGGGGGCACATAAACAAATATTTTATATCAAGGCTGATGCTGTAGGTTGGTATAGTCAGGAGGAGCTGGAACAAACCTAATAATATTGCCATAAGCTAGAGAGGGAAAAATTCAAACAAGAACAACATTAAGCAAAACATCTCAAAGAAAACTGTTACAGTAAGATCCCAAACTACCATTATCTGTCTTCCTTAATGACAAATTATTTGGCCCACATCCACTTACTGCCACCACTTCAGGGTCATAAAACTTGAACAGTCGATGGAATTTGGGAGGATCCGAGTCAGCAGACGGCATTTGGTTGCTTGACATCCTGAAAACCCACCTAAAACCCAACTGAGGTACTAAAAAACAAAAACATTTCAAAGTCCAGATCAACGATTATAATGGCTCCTTACAGAGTTATATAATAGTGAGTGAGTCGGTATGAAACATGATCTGATCCCCCTGGATTAATGGAATGTTTTGTGGGAATACAGATGCTGAAGAAGAAAAACATCTTTGTGAGGAGAGGAAGTGGGCGGATATAATAGTCAACAGAAAATGTGTCTGGAGAGAAGAGCAGCACAGCTTGATACAATCCTGATTGCTCAACAGCACTGCAGAGGAAAAGGAAAGTACAAGGGGAAAAAAAAATAGTTCACTACATGCATCGCCTTAAGTGGGCTGGACTGACCAGATGTCCAAAACAGCTCCAGTTTGCGTTTTTATAAGTTTGTACACTCTAAAAAAAAAGGTTCTTCAGCAGTTCTTTGGAGTCGATGAGGTGCTATATAGCACCACTACCATAAAACCTGTAAGCCCCTGTATAGTTCTTTAGAGGTTCTTTAACTCTCTCTTAATCTCTTAGTTTCGTTGGGAAAAGGGTTAAAACAACATTAAAATACAGTCTATTTCTTGAAGATATAATTTTTTTTGCCCCCAAAAGGAAATATTCCAGGGCCCCCACATGAGACCTTTGACCTCAGAAAAAAAGGACCCCTCCACACACAGTATTACCAACTTCACACATTACTATGCCTTAAGTGGGCTGGACTGACCAGATGTCCAAAACAGCTCCAGTTTGCGTTTTTATAAGTTTGTACACTCTAAAAAAAAAAGGTTCTTCAGCAGTTCTTTGGAGTCGATGAGGTGCTATATAGCACCACTACCATAAAACCTGTAAGCCCCTGTATAGTTCTTTAGAGGTTCTTTAACTCTCTCTTAATCTCTTAGTTTCGTTGGGAAAAGGGTTAAAACAACATTAAAATACAGTCTATTTCTTGAAGATATAATTTTTTTTGCCCCCAAAAGGAAATATTCCAGGGCCCCCACATGAGACCTTTGACCTCAGAAAAAAAGGACCTCTC